CCACTCTTCAGGGTGGGGCCAGATAACTTCTGGGCACCCAGTGGTTCATGGAGGACCTCTCCTAGTCATGATCCTCCTGGTAAAATGGCCCTGGTGTTCCACCCATCCAGGCAAGCAGGGGCACATGACTTCTGCAAGGTCTCTTCTGAACTTCCAAAATTAAACAAGATGAAGAGTTTGAATTGGAGTTGGTAACTTCCTAGATTCTTGAGAGTCGTTTTCATGTTTTAGGAAGTTTGGCAGTTACTCTCCTTATTCCCAACCCTCCCCATTATTTTCTGTAACTTATATGAACGGTTCCCTAATACAGATAGGGCCAAGCCTCCTTAATTTTTCCGTTAGTCACTCAACATTCACTTGCTTTTTAGTAAAATGCGCATTATCTCCTTCTTGAAGCCTTGATCTCCTCTTAAAATGCTTAGAACATAGTACCTTAGTCCAAGGATGAGAATGGGTAACAGGTTACAGATTCACCTATTAGCCCATAGTTGCTGAACCAGTTCTGCCTAGTGCTTCAGGGGTCCTTATCCTTGCACATTCCCATCTTCTCCAAGGAAGGAATTCCAAGTGGTCTTTTAAGATCTAGTATGTTCAAATCATAGACCACCTCAGCAATTTCTCCTGAGTTCTGGGGGTTGAGATCCATAGGTGGCTCAGAGATTTAAGTTTTATCTCTCCAAATTTATATCCTTAATTGTTCATGTCAACTAATATCTGAACTTGTTCTTTTCCCTTATTTCATATCTTTTAAGTCCTTTTGTGACCTTATTCCAAATTCTCCAATTTCAATTCTTTTTATTTATTTTTTTTTTGAGGCAGAGCCTCAAGCTATCCCCCTAGGTAGAATGCCCTGGCATCACAGCTCAGAGCAACCTCCAACTCCTGGGCTCAAGTGACTCTCCTGTCTCTGCCTCCCAAGTAGCTGGGACCACAGGCGCCCGCCACAAGGCCCAGCTATTTTTTTTGGTTGCAGCTGTCATTGTTGTTTGGTGGACCCGGGCTGGATTCGAACCCGCCACCTTAGGTGTATGTGGCTGGCGCCTTAGCCACTTGAGCCACAGGTGCCAAGCCTCCAATTCCAATTCTTGAGGGGTTATTTTTCCAGTCAGCTCACAATGATTAGCCATCTTTGGAAGCTCATTTTCTGCTATCTCTTGAATGTCTACATTCCTGCTATTTGGTTTCCAAGTTCATATTCAGAAGCATCTAAGTTTGGAATCCCAAACACCTGTATATGTGAATTTTACAATCTCTATAGCCAGTTCTTTCTTACAATAAACTGAAAGTATTCATGAAATCACACTAAAAAGAAAGGCACAAATCAAAAAAGGGGAAATTACATCAGATCAAGGGAAAGTTTGCTAATGTGTTTATTTGAACTTATCAATAATTTTCATTTCATTACTTGAGAAGCAGCAGAATGTAACAGAAGAGACATGGACATCATAAAAAAAGTCTAGAGTTCAAACGCTGAATGAGTTTGAATCCCAGGTCTGTTGCTCACTAACTCTCCAAACTTGGGTCATTTCCTTAACTATCAAATGGAAACTAGATAATCATAAATACCCACATAAGGTTGTTATAAAGAATAAATAAGATTACATATGTAAAATGACTAGGAAGTATGGTACTTGACAAAAATTAAGTGGTTAATTAATGTTATTTAATAATCATTACTTCTAGAAACTTAATGTTTCTATTTAATGTTGCTTTTTTACTCATTTTACTATAATTCAATATCCATCCCCTTCCATCAGAAAAAAACATATTTTCACTTTTTATAATTTCAGTACTACTAATTGTATTTTAGTTTACTTATAAAGTCCAGATTGAGATTTTAGAGTCAATATGACATTAAGATAAGTCTAGCTGATTTTTTTCCCAGAAAAACTTAGATGCTTTTCCTTAGAATTATTTTGAATACATGCAAATGTATTCCTTGCACTATCTGAAAGCAACCATAGACTTTGCAAAGCAAAATGTTTGACTGCTACCTATGGTTCCATATGAAAACTAGACTATGTTTTCCCAAGCTTAATGAGGAAGAAGACGTGTAAACAATTCACTTAATGCCTCATTAAATCTTTCAAATTATCTTTGAAAATATTCCAAAGGGAATTTTTATTTAAAATCCAACCAGTCCCCATTCATCTCTCACCCTGCTTTCCTCTGGTTTTGTTGCACTCTCAGGCAAGCCCTGCCTTGGTGATGGCAAGATGGCTGCCAGGAACTCAAGGAGGAGCCTTGCTAGTTCCGAGATCAGTAGGAAAGCAAGCACACCCCTTTCTGGGTTCTTTGAGTTTTTATAACCAAGGAGAGGAGAATAGACAGCTGGTGAGCAGAACAGCAGGGTTCTCCCAAACTCTGCCTCAGGGTCTCACAGGCCCATTTAAAGGTAGAACCCTACCTGGCTTGGGGTAAGGGTAAGGTGAGCAGATGTCCCGCTTTTGGCGGGACAGTCCCAACTCTTTAACAATTTGTCCTGTGTCCCGAAGCGTTTTTAAAAAGTCCCGATTTTTGGAAAGAATCCATGACAAGCTAGGGAACAGCGGGAGAATGGGAAGGGAATATATGATTTCGGCTGCTGAAAAGGTTAATGTAACTCCATTTGGGAATGAAGAGGTTAATGTAACTTCATTTGGAAATGAAAAGGCTAATGTAAACTCCCTACTCCCCTCCTGGGCAAGGTATCAGAAGGAGACTGGCTCCCTCCCTTGCTTCTAGGCAAGGACAATTAGCTCAGGAGGAGCTGGAACAAACAAGTAGCCCCCCCCCCCAAGGTGACCAGACTTCCTGCTTTTGGTGGGACAGTCCTGATTTTTAACAATTTGTCCTGCGTCCTGCAGCGTTTTAAAAAAGCCCCAATTTTTGGAAAGAATGGACAAGCTAGGGAACACTGGAGAACAGGAAGAGAATATACGGTTTTCGGCTGCCACGTGGCTATTTCACCAGGATATGCGTTTTATATTATTTTTGTTAATTTTATAATGTTAAACTTTAATAATAGCAAATAATTGTTGAGAACTGATTATTGAGAATTGCTTATCAAAGTTTGCATTGTTGTCAGGCCTCGTCCCCCCCCATGGTGTCCCGCTTTACCAGTGTTAAAATCTGGTCACCTTACACTTGGGTCAACTTCCCTGACCAACTGGTGACTGTAGTGATATTTACCAATGAGGAATGTAGCATTTTTTTTCTGGGATAAGTTCACAAACTCAGCTGTTAGACCTCATAGGACAATAGCTATGATGGTCATTCCAGATAAAGAGTTCCAAAATTGCTTTGAAGGATAGACTGGGGCTGGTGACGGAGCATAGCTTCCCAAGAGGAGTACTTGGAAAGTGCCTGTGGTGATATTCAGCAATGAGGTATGTAGTGCTTTTTCCTGGATGAGTTCTCAAACTTAATGAAACAGGCAAGAGCAGAGTGTCAAAGCTTTCCCACACTCATTTTGGCACTGCCTTCTCTGGGAATTCTTCACGCTAGCATCATAATCCCCTTCATCTTCTTGATCAACACATATAATTGGGTTTTTTTTGTTGTTGTTGTTTGTTTGTTTTTTAGAGTGAGTCTCACTATGTCACCTTTGGTAGAGTGCTGTGGCATCACAGCTCACAGCAACCTCAAACTCTTGGGCTTAAGTGATTCTCTTGCCTCAGCCTCCCAAGTATGTGGGATTACAGGTGCCCACCACAAAGCCCAGCTATTTTTTGGTTGCAGTTGTCATTGTTGTTTAGCTGGCCCGGGCCAGGCTCAAACCCGCCAGCCTCGGTGCTTGTGCCTGGCGCCGTAACCACTGTGCTATGGGCACCAAGCCAAGATATACCTGTTGAAACAACTTCAAGACTAGCCCAGGATTTCTTATAATTACTTTTATTGATTACTATAATTCATGCTTTTCTCTTACTACTACTGTTTCTTATGGGCTCTTTTAAAAGATTTTACCCTTTTGTGCCAGGTGGCCATCTATCAGGGGTCGCAATCCACTTTGATCTTTCTCTACTACGTACTACTTCTGTATTTTTACGTAGCTAGATGATATATTAGAAAATAAGTAATTAGGAAAAATTAGGCACAGCATGTAAATTCTGAGAAAACTTTGATGGAAATAAAAATCTTCAGTTTCTCTAAACTTAAGAAGTTTAATAAAGAAATTGATATCAACTTAGAGAATTCCTCACACATGTATATAACATAACTTAAACAGAGTTCTTCATGGCCGTCTACAAACATTAGCAAAAATGAAAAAAAGAAGACTAAGTGATGATCCATAGGAAATAGTTAAGTAAGTAATAGCCCTTCAAAACCATGGAAGACCATCAAATGGCTGAAGTGAACTCAGTAGATCTTTATATGTGCTACCTAGGAAGAATTTTTTTTTTTTGAGACAGAGCCTCAAGCTGTCCCCCTGGGTAGAGTGCCGTGGCATCACAGGTCACAGCAACCTCTAACTCCTGGGCTCAAGTGAGTCTCTTGCTTCCACGTCCCAAGTAGCTGGGACTATAGGCGCCTGCCACAACGCCCAGCTATTTTTTGGTTGTAGCCGTCATTGTTTTGGCAGGCCCAGACTGGATTCGAACCCGCCACCTTAGGTATATGTGGCTGGTACCTTAGCCGCTTGAACCACAGGCACCAAGCCATCTAGGAAGAATTTGCAAGAAATACCATTAAGTGAGAAGAGGTTGAAGAATCATTTATTTAATATGATATCATTTATATAAAAACAAAATAGCATCTCCTAAGCAAAACCACGTTTGTACATGTGCATGCATAATTATGTCCTTGCACAGGAAAAGGGTGGGAAGGAAACACACTGTACCACATTGACGTGTCTCCCGAAGGAACGTGAACTTGACAGAGTGGTGAATGGAGACTTTCACTTTATTTGCATTGTTTCATCTTTTTGCAGTGAATATGTCAGTTACTAATTTAATGTAAAAAGTCAGGGAGGGAAACTAAGATTCTGTACATGACATTCACTAGTGTCTTCTCTCCTACAGAAAGAAGAAAGGTGTTTAAAGATGTCCTGTCATGTTTGAACATGGACAGAAGCAGAAAGCTTCTGCCAGATTGTGTTAAAAAATTCTCTTTAGAAAAAGGATGTGAGTGGACGCCTGAGACTCCAGGAGACTTAGCCTGGAATTTCCTGATGAAAGTTCAAGCCCTGGATGTCACAGCTAGAGACCCAATTCTCAGGCACAAGGTTCTGGATGAAGATAACAAAGGTGGATTGCTGACTGGATTGGAGAATTTGGAAATTCAAGACACACAATACATCAATCCTCTGGATGTCCTTTGTGCCGCCATGCTATGTTCAGACAGCTCTTTGCAACAGGAAATCATGTCAAACATGTATCAATGCCAGTTTGCTCTTCCCTTGCTACTGCCAGATGCAGAAAACAACAAAAGCATCTTAATGCTGGGGGCCATGAAGGATGTGAAAAAGCCATCAACACGGTCTTCTGGAGAGCCCATAGAGGATACAGAGAAGTTTCTGACCTGCATGAAGGTGCCTGTCATCTCTTTTGTGCGTTTAGGACACTGTAGCTTCTCCAAGTCTAGAATCCTCAACAGACTGTTCAACCCTGCCCAACAGAAATCTCATAGAATCTTTCTTCATCAAGATTCACCTGCTCTGGTGCTTCCCCGGCAAATCTCTGATGGCCTAGTTGAGATAACGTGGTGTTTTCCTGATAGTGATGATTTAAAGGAAAACCCTAGTGTTTTCCAAAAGCCTATTGCTGTGACCAACCTTCGTGGAGACCTAGAAGGCTTTTGGACCCAGTTTGGTTTTTTGATGGAAGTTTCTTCAGCTGTGATTTTTTTTACCAGCTGCTTAGGTGAGAAGGAATGGGACTTGCTAATGTTTTTAGGAGAAGCTGCCATTGCAAGATGCTACTTCATCCTCAGTTCCCAAGCTAGGGAAAGTGAAGAGGCTCAGATTTTCCAGAGGATCCTGAAATTGAAGCCATCACAGTTACTTACTTGGGAGAGGGAGGAAGCTGAGGATGCCAGGAAGAATATGGAAGGCCTCCGAGCTGCCCTCCGGGAAGTGATGTCTTCCTCCTCACTCAGATATGTGTCCGTGGAGGACATGGCTTCCCTGGCCAGGGAGTTGGGGATTCAGGTAGATCAAGACTTTGAGAACACTCAAGGAGTTCACATTTTCCCTGATGATAACATGGCTGGAACAGCTGATGGTGAGGGACAACAAAGATATAGTCAGCCAGGAAGTTCATCTAGAAGCCACGCTCAGATGCCTATAAGAGAGCCTGGGGCTAGTTGTGAGGTTGGCTGGAACCATCAGAATTTCCATCATACCCCAGTATTCAGGCCTCATCTGGAAAGCTCTTGGCCACTACCAGCAAGAACTGGGGGTAACTTTAACCGTTTTCCCTTCAAAGCCCCTCGCTTCATGGGCTTTGGGTCACAGCAGAGGGTTAGGTGGTTCTGTCCTTTGCCTTTTCAGAATGCAAGGCCCCAGAGCCGAGGCAGAAGTTTTGGTATTCAATCTTTTCAACCCCAGAGGTTCTATTCAGGTGCAAGATTTATGAAATTTATAAGACCTGCTTGGGGACACCCTTTGAATAGAATGTTTGGGAGACCACCAAGACCCATTTTTCAGCATGCACATGCCTGTCCTAAGAGACCACAAGCAATGGGAACATTTAAAAGGTCTGGGGTTTCCCAGGGAGGTCACTCCCATTCCCTGGGTTCACAGCCCACTGGAGTAGTAGGGAGGCCACAGCCTAGGCAAACCTGCATCCAAGAAGCACAGTTCCCCAAAACACCTGGAAAAGTTATGAAAGCAACATCTCATATTGAAGATCCTCACCCTAAAAAACTGGTAGGACCTGCTTCTCAGCAAGAAGTCAAGCGAAAAACACAGGGTAGGCCTTCAAATCCAGCTTCTCAAACAGGGACCCATCCCATGTCCAAGAGTACTCAGTCCAAGCCATCCCAAGTCAAACCCTTACACTCTAAACCCTCCCACCCTGTGCCCTCACAACCTAAACCCTCTCCGACAAAAGCCCCTCAGCCCCGATCCTCCCAAGCTAAACCTCCATCCAGATCTACTCAATCTAAGCCTTCTCAGCCCAGACCCTCTCAACCCAATTCATCCCGGACCAGTTCTTCCCAGGCCAAAGCATACCACCCAAAAGTGGGGCCCAAAAGGGGAGCAAAGCGTTAAAGAGCTTGCTCCAGAGATAGGTAAAATGTATTTTTCATCCAGGCCATCCTTTTTTTTTTTTTGAGACAGAGCCTCAAGCTATCCCTCTGGGTAGAGTTCTGTGGCATCACAGCTCACAGCAACCTCCAACTCCTGGGCTCAAGCAAGTCTCCTGCCTCTGCCTCCCAAGTAGCTGGGACCACAG